GCATATTCAGAAACCTAGTCTAAAATGGTTTTACCAAGTACGTACGTAGATAACAAAATTACCATGATATTGTTTGAGGCATATGAGAGAAAATGAGCACCCCAGATGCTGGGATGAAAACCGGCAGATCGACGATTAATTTCAGGTTTGGAGTTTTGGGATGGAGGAGCTGGAATTGATGCTGTAACTTGAACAAACATTTTTCACGTTCCTAACTTGGAAGAAGCTACTGAAGGATATTGAAGAACCAAACTAGCTAGCTTAGACCTTATGCACCATGCTCCAATGTATGGTTTCATATTTATAGAGGTAGAAATTTGATGTAAACAATAACCAACAAACTTTTATTTGAATCTGAAACTAATCAGATCGTTTTCCATGGTTATTTCTCATTTCTCATTTCTCACGAGATTTTGTTGAAAGTCAAGCAAATTACAAATCAATCACTTTGAAGCAAATTATTGTAATATGTAGTTTTCTCAAATTTTATTTATAAAACTTTTTTTTCCTTGGCCTTCTACTTATAAAAAACTAAGGTTTTTTTTTTTTTAATTCCTTTTTAACAAATTTTTAGATTTGTAAAGGAAAGTGTTTACACCTAAAAATAAACCAATGAGAGAAGACCACGTGTCAAAGTGAAGCCCAATTATCAAGAAGAGTCAGCAGGCTAGATTTGAGCTAGACTGGATTATAATTTAAAGGCCCAGATGGAATTTTAAAGAAGCTGGATTTCAAGTGGCAGAAGATAAGTTGGGCTCTGGTGTTTGAGTTTGATTTAAAGAGGAAATTGAGAGTTTTTAGGATGAGGTTATCCTTAGGGTTTATTGAAGATAAAATTGAACCAAAAATAGAAAACTGCCAAACGTGGAGTCCCCACTACTCAGCCATGGAGAGAGAGGGCAGAGAAACATGGAGGAGGTTTCCTAGCATCGAAGGAAAGAAAAACAAGGAGAAGAAATCAGTTTCGGATGGCCTGCCCTACACACACACACTGCCAAGAGCATGTTTTTTGACTTTCAGACTTCTTTTTCCAGATTTCAGCAATAGTTTCCAGATTAGTTTGTAAGATTTGTTCTTGTTTATAGCCTTAGTTTAGGTTTATCCATTCTTGTTCATATCTTTCCTCAAAGATTTCAATTTAGGTTAGTTTTTAAGCATTTGGAAGCAATTCAACCTTCAAAACAGGTCTGCCCTGTTGATTTGGTTAGTTCCTCTTTTTTTTTTCTTTTTTTTTCTTTTTTTTTTATGGATTCAGCTATGTTATTTGTTCATGTAAATAGGTTAGATGCTTTCTGCCTTTACTCTTTTGTTTCTACACAACAACCAGATATGCAGTTTATTTAATTTCATTTTTTAGATTTAATTTTATAAGTTTCCAAACTTTAATTATTTAATAGATTTTCCTTCAGTTTTAGTTATCAAGTAGTTTAGCTATTTTTATTTTAAATCTGCAAGTAATTAGTTTAATTGTTATGAATTGCGTAGTGGAAATCATTGTCTGTGATTTTACATTTTCTGTTGTTTGCGAGTTTTATTTTTGTGGCATGTGCTCTTTTGTTGATTTCATGTTAGATTAATTACCTTAAGATTTTTTTATTAATTTTAGGATTTGTAGCTTTTATTACACTTTTGTGGTTGTGAAGTCCTTCGAGATTTCCAAGGCAACATTCAAATTCACGTGATAAAAGTCGGCTGAGGATTTTTGGAGAAACAGAAAGTTTTCCTTAAAAGTATATTTTTAAGTTTTGCCAAACCGCCCCTTCTTAGCTGTTACACCATACTGCTGGTGGAGAGAAACATTAGGTTGTTCCAAGGAAAAAGCTATAAAATGCGCAGAAACAATTTATATTGTTTGTTAATTGTTAAATTTGAGATTTTCATAATGGAATAATGGAATTCCTGGGATATAACTGGGCATATTGG